GGTGTCACATCCTATTAGGACATAATCTAATATATGACTAAAGCCTCAAGCTTCATCACCGGTATTAACCTACTAATAATATTCACCTATTAGGAATGAAAATAGATCATACCAGACTTTGAATATATAGGTCAAATTTATTATATAAAATTAAAATTTAGGTGTCTATTATTGATTATATACTTTTTAATAGGTATGAACAAACCTTTTTTAAAAGTTCAACCTAACTTATTTGTCTATTTAAAAACTTATTTTTGTATTAACAACATTAAACATATGTAAATTTATTTTAAATAAGCCAACAATTATGTTTTTAAATAAATTGTGAGTCTTTTTTTTTTTTTTTAAATTTGCATTATAAAAAAATAGTTTACTCTATTATTATTAAAATTTAGAGTTTAAAATAAAAATAAACACTAACTTAATATGGATAATTCATGCATAACTATATACACTAACATATATTCATGCACATACTGTAATGAAAGAATATAATCTTATAAAAAAAACTTTCTAAATATTCTTTATATCTCATCTGAAGTATTTTAAATAACCAACCATTAAATGAAGTAAAAGAGCAAGTGAATATGCGATTGTTAGAGTTTCTTTTTTAATTTTTTAATTACGTATGAACAAAGAATGTAAAATGTTTAATTATAGTGAAAATGTAAAAAATATTGATAATTTAATTTTCGTATTACAAATTTATTTATAATGATATTATTAATAATGTAATATGCATACTATTATTTTTTATTATATTATATAGATAAGTAGGTCAACCTATCAAACTTAAAAATAGGCTTTTTTTATAAGCTTAAACCCAACCTTTATTTAAATAAATAATTTTTTTTTAAAAAAATCATAAATTTTGTCTTTTTATTAAATAGAAAGGTCAGGCTTGACCAGACTTTAAATAAATTAGACTATAGATCCCTGTTTAAAGTCTGACATATTCCCCCTATTTAAGACTTAACATATTCTCATTCTTATCACCTGTAATGGTATTTAGCCAAACAAAAATAAAACAACACAATACATGATTGTTGTATTAATTATTTAATTAATTTTTTTTATGGATTAACATTAATCAATTATTAAGAATTATTATTTGATTTTTAATATACTAGTTATGGTCAATAATTATTTTAACACTTAATTAATTAATGAATATTATATTAGATTTCTGTCCTGAATGACTTATGATGAATTGAACTATTCAATTTATGCCTAATGAGAGGTCCTACACTCATACGATATGTTATGTAATCATTGTTACGTAGGACGATTAATATGAACCGATGAACTACTCAAGATTGAAATGAGTCTTCTCTAACTTCTCTCATTTCAATTTTGTATTTCCTCTTTCAATAACATGTTTTGATTTGTATTTATTTGATTTCAATGTTAATAAGTTTTATTCATTGGTATCAAAGGCATAGAAATATATATTACAACTGTTGTTTTTTTCTTTTCTTTTCTTTTCGATAATTGATTGAAGGAAATGTAAGTTTTCAAAATAGTATATACGTCCCACTATGTTTCTTCTTCACTAATCATGAAACTTGTTTGATAGTTTTTTTAAATTGATTTAGGGGTTTTGTTTTCCTATGGATTTTAATCAACATAGTCTCTTTTTATAAAATTTCATTAATCACACATTGAGTAATTGAAGTTTTCTTCTCTGTAGTGGTGAACCTTTATTCTTTCAAATTTATTAAAAATTCTTGAACATAGTTAAACAATTTGCAAAATTGATTTAGAGTTTCTTTTCTTTGTTATTGAATGAAAAAAAATGCCTCAATACAATACAAATTAATTATACTTTTGATTCTTTGTAAACAATGTTCTAGGATATTTTATTTACCATATATATTGAATATGAACAAATTCTTGTTTTATAATTTTTTATTCTCCCAGTGGCATTTCAGTATGTATATCACACTTTCCGTATGAGTTTGTTATTATTAAGAAGTATGTTTATAACACTTTTCGTATGAGTTTCAGTATGTTTGCAATCTTAAGATTTTGATACTACATTGTTATGATGGGGGAAAATTGTCAAAAAGAGTTTAGGTGAGTACAAAGAAAAACTTTAGGGGTTGTTGGTTCATGTTGTATAGCATCTCATTCAATGTACATTTCAATTCCAATTCAAATAAAAAAAATGAAAAGGCAAAATAAACTAAAAATAAAATAATTTGGTTGTAAAGTTGGTGGTTGCTTTCAATATGGTTTTCAAATGAAGGAGAGTAGTATGCCAAGTTTATGTTCTTATTCTAGTTTTGCTCTCTTTGCTTTAAATGCTCTTGCTATCCTGAAAAACCAAGTTTTCTTCTTTAGCTGATCAATCAAAACATTTTTCCATGATTGTTAGTCTCTTATAAAATAATTGCATGCATTCTTGTTATAATTACATTGTACACACCATACTAGAGACTTGATAGGAAGATTCATTTTTCCTTGAAATTATTTTGGTAGATAAGCATGCATGAATGACACTTGGATGTGATTGAGAGGACTGATTTCTTAGTTGATTTGCTTTTGCTAGTTAAATGTCTTCTCACTACAATAAAATTACAAATTAACGACCGAAATGAGCGACTGAAATTTATCAATCGCTATTTAGCGACTAATTTAGCGATCGATTCTGAATAATCAAATAGCAATTGATTTAGCAACCAAAATAAGTTGTCGCTAGAAAATCGCTCACTGCTTGATTGTGTTTCATGAACACAAAGGTTGTGGCGGAAGCAGCGACCAATAACTAGCTACTAAACTGTAAAAAACATTGTGACTGAATTAAATTCGATCGCTAAATAAGAAATTTTGATTTTTTTAGCGACGAAATTGAATTTGGTCGCTAAATATTAGTTAAAATTAGGGACTGAATTGAATGCGGTCACAAATTATTAGTTAAAATTAGCGACGGAATTGAATTCGGTCGCTAAATATTAGTTAAAATTAGCGACGGAATTCTATTTAGTCGCTAAATATTAGTTAAAATTAGTGACGAAATTCTATTCGGTCGCTAAATAAAACTTAAAAAATATATATAAATTGCTTAAAAGTGATGATAATATTGTTGTTAAGTATCAATCTCATTTACAAAATATATAAATTGTTGCTTAAAAATATATAAATCTAACGGTTGGATTTACAAAATTCACATTTAATATAAAATTATTGAGTAGTGTAATACTTAGTGAAAGTTATACCAGTGTTATTATAACCCTTCTTATTTTAAAATATATAAATTATTACTTAAACTTTCAAATTTATGATAAATAATTTAAATTGTATCATAATATTAATTTTAAATAGAAATAAGTAGATTGTTAATTATAAAAGTAAGTATATATATAAATAAAGATTAATTAAATATAATATTATTATTATTAGTAATATAATTATTATACATATTATTATATATTTATAACGGTCCGGATACACCAAAATGAGAAGGATCTAAAGAAAGTATAAGTATGAGATTGGATAGTTGAGGATGACTTAAATAAATTAATTTGTACTACTTATACTAACAACATGCATCTGCTTTTCGGTAGCTGATCTCATCAGAACTTCACAATTTAGCGTGTTTGACTTGAAGTAATATAGGGATGGATGACCTTTTGGGAGGTTTCCAGAAATTGTGTAATTATGGACAAAACATGCTAAAAAGTTAAGTATTGTGAAATAGAATCCTCGAAAGACCAAATATGAGTAGTTCGTAGCAACCAAATTTGTGACGTCTATAAAATTTAACAAAATAAAAAATAAATATTTAGCAACTGATTTATTCGGTCACTAATTTGGTCCCATACACTTCAGGGACCAAAATCATTACAACCATTTTGTGACAAAAAATTTTTCTGTCGCTAAACAGCTTTGCGACCAGGGTTTTAGCAACTGCTTAAATTCGATTGCTAAGGTAAATAGCGACCGATTTTAGCAATTTAGCGACTGATTTTGGTGGTCGCTAAATGCCATATTTTTTGTAGTGAATTGAATCCCCAGCAACACCTGATCAAGTTACCTTTTCCTTCAAGACAAGCATAATTCTAAGCTTGGAGGAGTTGTTGATAATGTAAATTTTTACTTATAATTATTGATCATATCACATTAACAAAATAAAATTTTCTTTAGTTTTGAACTTGCTCTATCCTCCTTTTAATGATTTTTTGAAATTAATTTAAATTTGATTACCATCATTCAATTATATCACTAATCCCTATTTTTTGTCTCACATTTGATCAGGAAGTGAACTTGGATTATGGTAAGCAAAAAAGGACACATGTAGTGAAGAAAAAAAAAACCTTTTTTAAAGATTGCACAACGTTGAGCACCACCCTACTCACGTCCGATGCTATCTTGCCAGAGAACATAAGGCTCTCTAGCACTAAATACCACTTTACTAGTGCTCGATGCCATCTCGATAGAGAGCATCAGGCTCTCTAACGCTAAGATCCATTCTACTTGCACTCAATGCGATCTTGACAAAGAGGCCTGCTTTCCCATTTTCATTACATGACCCTTTTTGGCTCACTTGTTTTTACCTCTTTTTGAGGTTTTTGGAGCATTCTATGACTTGGACGAGTTTGGGGGACTATAAAGTGCTGCTAGAGCTTCCTTCACCATCTTCAACCTTCTCCTTATTAGCTCTCCATTTTCCATCATTTATCTTATTTTCTATTTTGTGCTCTTTGTGATAATGAGAAACTAAATTTATTTTTGTTAAGATTAGATGTAACCAACCAAACTCTCATATAACTTGTACGTATTACAATAAGAATAATCTAAGTCGCTCAATGTAAGACGGTTTACTAAAAAATGATGTAGAATAAGATGCGGTGGCATTTTTGTAAATAAAAGTAACATAATCTATGACGGTTTAGATAGTAACCATAGTAGAATAGTCTACACGAACATATCTACGACGGTTTATTATAAAATCGACTTAGATTATAAGTGATCTACGATGGTTTTCGTGTAAAACCGACTTAGATGGAGACCCAAAATTAGCGCGCTCGACTCTCCCAGTTCATTCGTGCCCTTTGGTCTCCCACTCACAGCCTTCGTCTTCTCTCTTTGTTCTCAACCTTAGCTCTCAACGTCTCCCGCAACTCTCAATGACGATGCCCTTTAGTCTCTCACTCGCAACCCTAGCTCGTGTTCTCTCCACATTCTCGGAAGCTCTCAATGTCGTCTTCTCTCTCTATTCTCACCCACAGCCATCGTCGTCTCCCTCAACTCGCAATGACGACGCTC